TGATCTGTTTTTGAAATAGTTAACAATTATAAAAATATTAGTACAGAAATACTTGTTTCAAACGATGCGAAACCCTATCCAGTTTTTCCTCAGAAGGTATTAAGTCCTGCCATTTGGGGAAACTTAAAGGCACCCAACCCACGCGAATACCGAATTTTTACTGTGCTAAATCAACTTGCATTGCAAGCTGTGGTCTCTGTACAAAGATTCCGTTGTATTTAGCATTTCGGCGTAGGGCATCAAGTAAGAAAGTTACAATCATTTGTGTACCTTGGTGAAAATTATACAGGATATTCCTCATTCTATTATATTCTGCAACTTCAACATGGTAGTGTTCAAATTAATTTAAAAATCAATACGTTTTATTATAAATCTTTAATATAACATGTTTAGTCTTTCAGTGCTATCAGTATTGTCTTTATAATCACCGACATTGTCTGTGGTTTCTGCCTTGTATTTATATTTATTTTTTAATACCTGCTGATAGTTAAATTTCTCTCACTTATCTCCGTTAAATTTAATATGTCAAATGTTTGCCAAATCTTACAGTACATCTCGTGTTAACCATTTTGAATTTCCTTTGACGCTTCAACAGTGTTTGCTGGTTGTCTCGTTTTGGTATCACCCGTGAACATACAGTAACTTCTTAGCCAGCTACCAGAAACTCGTTTATTTGTATAAATTAGGAAGATCAGCACTCCTGATACTGTGATTGCCCACAACTTGCCTCACCTTGTTTATGTGGTGGAGTTTCAGAAACCTTCTGAAAATCCATATCATATCCTACGCTCTGCCTCCGTTACTGCTGTTGGTTGTCCAAAGACCTCAATAACATGTCAAATGACCAACCATTTCTGTATCCGTGTTGACTTTCCATTACTGTCTCATTGCTATGATACCTGCTTTTATTAGAGATTTTTATAAAAACTATGATCCTGTATTTTTTTACAGCTCCGTAATATTACATGTGTAAGAATGTAAAGAAGGATGAGTCCTGCAGTTTATTGTCAAATTTCAAGTCAATGTGTATTATACCATGTTGTTGTGTTAATAGTCTATGAATTACTTCTCTTGTTTTTTAGAGTACAATTTTTAGACGTTACAGAGGAGCCTGTCCCGAGTTACTTGTAGGACGGGAAATACACTATTAACACACTCTCTGTTGAGGGGTGGAGTATACCACCATGTCCTTGACATTATTCTCCAATGCTTCAATAATTTTATGTATTGAGGCTTTTGATTTGTTTGTCATATATATATATGTGTGTGTTAAAGTGTGTTTTTAAGAGGTGATATTTTTGGTGCCAAGATATTATAGCCGAAACAGGGTGATGAAAAAGAAGAAGGAGCAGACTTTTTTTAACACTCTTCCACTTTGCGTCGGTTGTTATATTCCGTCTTGTGTGCTGATATAATTTTTCCTTTTGATGAAAGAATCCGTTAGCAATCCAGATGAAAACACGGCAAATAAATCCAGAAGGTTGTGTTGTGATCCATCCTCATATTAATTGAAGCCCCCAAGGTAGATATTTCAGTCAGGTTGTCAAAAATCCTAAATGAAAGCAGAATAAAAAGCAGGGGAAAATATCTACTGAAGTAAATGTGGTACTGTGGTACTGCTTCATATTCTTGAAAAAAATATTGGTCCATAAGTATTTTTTTATTTAGCGAATTTCATGTCATTTTATAACATGAATGAAAATATTAATTGTAACATGCAATAGTGGAGTAATTAGAAATGTCAATACCACAAAATTAGGCTTATTTAGACCAAATCAGATGTTTAAAAACAGAAACATAAAAAATACTCAATTTTCTTGTCAGTATTAATCTTAATAGTGGGTTCATTTCAGAAATTTGCTTAAATGTGATTTTATTCCCAGAGCAAGATGAAGTAGGATACAAACATAGAATGTATTTTGGTTGGATTCTTAAAATTAATTATAATCAGTTTTGAATAGTAATACTTCATCTTTTAGCCACACCTGCTTTCTCTCTGTGAATGAGACCATTGGTAAAACATTATTAAATATAAAGACAAAATTAATGAACAAAATAAACTTTTTTAGCTGAAATGTTAGTGTATTTAATCCAATGTAATTTCCAAATTAAAGTGAAATTTTACAATTATTACGTTCTTAACACTGATAACATCATCCGTTGAAAACACAACTCAGAACCAATTTGATATTTCTGTATACTTAAGGAACTCATTGTTTTTTAACAATAGCACGTTACAAAAGTATAATATATTCACAAATATTTCTAGTCTTCGGTTACATGAAATTGCCATAGGCTTTGTTTATTGTAATTTTATATATAGTACTGTTTATTAAATTATCAAATTGAAATTTTCTATTGTATAAAAGACTTGTGTTGTATATGAGACAATAAACTGACTTTAATAAGCACCCATGTTTTCTGTGGGCAGTTTATTTTCTTTACACGTCTTCAAATTCAAGTTAGCTATGATAAATGGTGTCTCTATATAGTGTCATATCAAGGGTGTAATCATGTCTTCCTTCCAATCCTCCTGAGAGGTTCGAGATGCTGCACCCCTTACCAGGAATAACAGAAATTAATTCACGTTTGCACATCAGTTGGCAAGCTACTGTATAAAAATGAAATACTCATTTATTGTTTTTAATGCCTTTCGGTATATATTATGTACACAGAAGACCACAATTTCAGCACAATATGAAATATCGAAACCCTAAGCATAAATGTCTCAAATATTTGTTAAACTAAAAAGCTGAAAAGTCATTTTCTTATAAATATAATTGCAATTGAACTGACTGGGTGTTATCATCCCCTCTTATGCTGAGCTATTGTTAGGTGAGATACTGTTGTGGGTGTTCATAAGTTTTCAAAAATCACTCCTCCAAGAAATAACAGTATAGCTGGATCAAACATAATTCTATCACAGTCTCAGAAACAGGGAAAGAAAAACTGTCATATTTCACTGAAAAACCACAATATCCCACATTTGATAGGTCTGTTCAGGCTGTGTCTCAAAGGGGCAGTACTGTACCTCAGAAACGTCTAGTTGGAACTAATATATGTAACGTACACTACAAACACAAACAACAACGTCTCCATCCTGCTTTATTACTACAACGATGACAAAATGTCTCCTAAACTGCTAAACTAATGTTTTTGGCATATTGTTGATTGTTGAAGTCATGATTTATTGTGATCAATTCAAGTGACTTTGTTGAGAGATTGTTGATTGGCACAGGTGACAAATTGATTTCATTTGTTGAATGTCAAGGCCTAGTGAAAATCATGAAAGAAAAAAAAACACAGAAGGAAACCAGTATGTCCTGTTTATCAGGAGAGGAATACCAATGCCAAAGAAGTCTAAGGATTTTAAAAAACATCACATCACATGCATCCTTACACTTCTCTCTGATCTTTTTTTTTTTTGCAGTTTCTAGCTGTCGAGATATTACAGCGAATACACTCTGTCAAGGTCAAAACCTGAGTGACTACAAGTCACGACCACATCTTCAACTTGGTGCAAAGCATGTAGCTCTGGTGTATAACTTGTATGACTATAACATGCACTACCTGGGTGTAATTTTCACAGTAGACACTGATGCAAGCCTGTGTATATTTGTGTCTGTGTGTTTCTGGCTCCCCCTGTGACCCTGAATTGGATGAAGCAGTCAGAAAATGAATAGATGCTGGCTCAATGAAATGTCAGTGCACTTGATCCAAAAAGATTTACCGATAATAAATTTGAATTGTTGCAGTTGCACATATCTTATTATATTCACAATATATTGGTGGGAGAAACTATCCACTCATCTCATCCACTGTCTCCATTTGTAAAAACACTATATTAGGAAGCATTGTAAGTTTTTATTTTATTTTAAGTGTTAAATCCCACTGTTCTGGGAAGAAAAAAACAACTCTCCAACTTAAAAGAAACTAACATTACAAAGCAGTTTTAAGGCATTTAATGGAAATACAAGGAAAATGTAGAGACAACTTTAAAGCCATTCAAAACATTGTCAGTTTATCATCAAAATAGCTCCTCAACCCTATATACTTTAACGACTCCTGTATTTTGTTGTTAGTTATATGTATGTTAATTCACATGAACTAAAACCTAAGAGTTAGCTTAGCTTTTAATATTATCAGTAGAAATTGTGTTCTTTGAGTATAATGTTCATAATCATTGTAGGCATACTTTAAGGCACTAGGAATAATAGTTTATATAGTTTAATATTCAAGATTTTTCTATGAGCATTATTTAGTTACTTTTTCATGCTTACACATCAAATGCATGCAAAAGCTCCTTGTGTGTCATTACATCAGAGCTCAATTTTATTTGAGTTATACATACTATTGATATTCAAACCAATTATCAAAGTATTAATACTGTAGAATTCTTTCTATAATTCTTTTAGAGTAATCTTTCTATAATGTTTTTTTAGAGTAATCTTCCAGATTGCCTTCAGATGTCTTTGCCACATTCAGGGCACAAGATGTCATCTCTCTCAGTGAGGAACCCTCGGCCTACTAAGGAGACAGAACATTTCTTGCAGTTGAAGCAATCATTGTGCCACTGGCGTTCTTCAAAGGAAATATACTTGCTTCCTCCAAGTCCTAAGTGGGGAAGAGAAATTATAAAAATATTAAAACAAAACAAATCACAAGATTATCATGGAAGTGTGATATTTATTATCATTATTAGCATAATAACATGTCCTTTGTGTGACACTAATGCATCTTTAACAATTATATAATCATTATTATTTTCAGGGGGTTACCCGATTTTTCCTTTACTTTGGGAACTGTCATCTGACTCATGACAGTGCATTTCTTGAGTGTTATGGAAGTTGTAGATTCCTTTTTGCAGAATTTCTTTATTAAAAAAGCATGATGCTCCTCAGTCATTCATCAGGAAGAAAGCTGCCTTTCACTGTGTACTGTATGTTGAATCCAGTAGCTTTCAAATCCACCTGTGCTTCTTGGTTATTCTGGTGGATATTCCACAGTGGTGGGATACAAATGATTGACATTGATATGTAACAATGATACTTGCCTCTGCCCTATAGCCTGAATGAGTTCTTGTTGGCCATAGAGCTCTGCATTTTTGTATTCTGAATTTACTTGTATTCTGTATTCTGAATTTAATAGCTTGATAACAAGTGATCAAGCTAATAGATCTGAAGGAGTGTAAATGTTTTCTTTGGGTTAAGTCGAATAACAAAAGGCAAAGCAAAACAGGTATACTACTGTTCAGCTTAGCTTAGCATACAGAAAATAAGAGTTTAAAGGCTGGATTGGTGCTCTTGTAGGCTATGAAAGACTCTGCTAATTGTAATTCCACTGCCTATTTCAACTGTATCTTACCTAATACATGAGAAAAATGTATTTTTTCTCAATTTTCAATTTAGTAATTGAAAATATTTGGCTTCAGTGTCACAGAGTAAGTGGAAGGTACGGCCTGAGGACCACGGTGGAGAGATCAAAGGTGCTCTCTTCAGTCATGATTATCCTCAACCACACTGTTTGGGGCAGCCGTGACTGGAGAGTATGCTTTGGTGGAACTGAAAGACTACCAGAGTTTTGTGCTTTCCTTCAGTGCAGTGGATGGAGGAGTGCCAGGATACAGGGCAGAGCTATTTCATGAGAGTGGTGATCTTGGATTCTTTGTTTTCTTTCTTTAGGGACTTACTGTATACTCTAGTTTAGGTTACTCTGGTGCACAGGGGAGACCATAAGTTTAATATGTTTGCTTTTGTGTGTATTTCCCCTTAGGATGCTTCGGGTCTTCTGTTGTGTGTGTCAGACAGACAGTGATAGACATTCTAATTGCTAGACCAATAAAAAGAGCTATTGGGTAGGATAACTGTCTTGTTTGGTATAGGTCTACGAGATCTTAAGACCCTATTGCAGGGGAAAAGGCTCCTAGAACCCTTAAAGTTGCTAGGTGGTATAGTATGCTACAAATTAAAGAATCTTGAAATTTGGGTTCACTGTTTAACTACAGCTATCCATGACATGAGGATAGCAGCCAACAAAAAATTAAATTCTTTAAGAATTGTATTTTGTCAAAGATACACAAAAATATATGAGAAGATAAATATATAAAGATATATAAAATATGTACGATAAAGATAAAAAAAAATATAAAGATATACAGTGTATGAAAATTTGATGAAATGTTTCAGAACGGTTTCATTTTGGCTGGAATGCAAAGGATTCAAATAAAGCGCCAGAAAAATATGTCTTTAGGATTTCAATGTGGCGTTAGTTTCATTCTTATGTTCAAACTGTGGTATGAGTGTAAAAGTAAATTAACTAGATGTCACATAATCAATCATATAGCTGTGCTTATAAAGCCATTGTTTTCTATATTTTGTTCCAAATCTAAAGCTGAGGAATGTAGACCATATTGTTTTTGTATTAGATTAAATGAAGCCACATGTACAGTATCTATCTTCCTGTACTCTGCTGCCGATGAATGTATTGCTTCTAAGCAAGCTTTATCCTTTCTGTCTAAAGAAGTATAAACACCTGATCTGTGCTCTGGTTTAAAATACATGGCTTTAGAAGTCATTATACAAATATGTATGTTTGTGTTTTTTGTTAAACATATCCTATATTGTAGTATTATTGCAGTTCATTACAGAGGAACATGTTGCAGAGTACTGATTGAGTGCTCAAATATACAGAGGTGCAAAAATAATTTTTAGACCTACTTGCAGTCTTATCTCTGTGCATTAACATGCTAAGCTTTAAAATATGGTTTTTATTTCAAAGGTAATTGTTTAATCTCTACAATAAATACATAAATGATACTATCAAAGTCATGATTTTGCATAATATATTAACTTGCTACATGTGTCATCCAGTCTTTCTTTGCTATAACATAAATACCACTGATTGATACTGGTTGTGATTTACCTCTCACACAATTTAGCAATGTTAGGTATTAAGCTATCTGTGTGGCAGCATGAATTTCATGTAATAGATTAAATGAACAACCAGACTGTCTCAAAGCAACTAGGTCTTGAACTCAATTCTGATAAACAATGCTGTAGCCTATAAGAAAGTTCTTCAAGGTTCCACTGGAATGCATAAAAAGACAGGACTTTTCCTATCAGCTGAAAAGGAGCTTTAAGAAAAGTTATGGTTGGTCATGCAAGTAGTGACATTTATATCAATTTGGTGTTTCCGATTGGTTAACTTGAAGAAAGGTCTTGAAGTTCATCTTATTTATAAAAGAATGTGTACTACCAGGTGACAGAGTGGTGCAGACCCTAGGGTGTGCAATTTATATGTTCTCCCAGTGTTCACATGGGTTTCCTCCAGGTGCTCTGGTTTTCTCCCAGTCAAAAAGCATTGTGGTACGTGCCTTCGCTTCTCGGAACAAATTGACCCTTGTGTGAGTGTGTGTGTGTTTGCCCTGTGATGGACTGGTGTCCCGTCCAGGGTGTACCCTGTCTGCACCTGTTGTTTGCCAAGATAGGCTCCAGCTCCCCTGAGACCCTGAACGGGAAGAAATGTTTAGAAAATAGATGGATGGATGCTTAATAGTGGATGGAAATAATTGAAGCAGAAACAAATGAAAAATGTGAATATTTTCATTAACAGAACAGAAAAGCCTGCTCAAAATATTAAGAGGAATGACAATGTTCGATTAGTAATTGGAGATATTAAAAACTGAAACAGTTGTATGAATTAAAGTAGTCTCTTTCCTCTTTGCCGTATATTTCATAATTAAACATGTCATTTTTAACTTCATTTAAGGATACTGTCTTCCAGAGAAAGGTATTTGAATGCTTATTTCTGCTAAGTACTGATTTTTCAGATAAATGTTTCAAAGCAGTCAATGGACTCAAATTAGATATTTAGGATTTCTGAAAGTGGACTGTTTTTTTTCCTGGCCTATGACAACAGAAAGGACAATAACAGGACATACCACTGATTGGATTTGTGCATCCAGCACACTTCTTGGCATACAGATTACAGAAGCAGTTCAGGCAGTAAGCAAAGTCATCCCGAGATGTGAAACGTTGTCCAGACAGCTGCTTCTTGCATCCAGTGCACAAGAAGCAATCTTTGTGCCAGGGCTGCTCATGGTAAGTCACTCCTCCGGAGGTGATGGGCTGTCAGGGAAAAGTGCAGTCAGATATTGAATTTTAATGTAAGTACTTGGAGAAAGAGAAGGAGAGCAAGCCTACTGTTTTAAATCATACTTCTGCATAATTGTTTGCAAACAACAGAACAATCTACAGCATCTGCAGTCCAAAATACTATTATTTTAGAGTGTGCTATTGTCATTAAAATTTTAAGTTTAAACCCTTTTTTGTGTGTGTTACATCTCAGGGATGCAGCTGTTAATTGCTTTGTTTGAATACAATTTTATGGGTCAGATCTTATCACAGATCAATTTCTCAAAGAGCATTTTTTAATTGATGCCTGGGGACAGTCTCCTGGGTCCGGCACTGTTCACATCCAGCTGCAAAGCAGTACTGGTGTTGCTGCTTTCTTTAGAAACTCAATATTTACCTCATCCTTTCACCCTTCATTTTTCAGATGACATCCAGGCTGTTCTAAAGGAAATGAAGTGTGAAAATACTAAACTGGCAGTGCCAAAAGGGCTGCTACAGAACTAAATGAGTTTGTTAATGCTACTAAATGGCTTGGCACATGGGCTACAGAGGTTACTGTTTGAGTCTGCTGTTTTATTTCTCGTGAAGGATGAGACAAACAGTGTAATAACATTCTATTGTATTAAATCATGTGATGACATGAAGTAATAAAAGGCATAATGAAAGCTTTGACTTAGAGCTGTACACTGCAATACAATCCTATTCTCCTATAAATACATTTATTCTTCCTTAAGTGAGATTCATGAAAAATCCTAAAAATCACTGTTTTATTTATTATATTATATTGTTTAATTGTAATCTATTTACATGTTTCTTCATATTTCTCATAATGGCATGGATAGAATTTTTTACATTTATGATAGTACATGTTGCTTATTTTGTATAGTTTAGTCAAGAAGCTAAGATTTATTTTTACATTTTAACTGGTAGAATAGAACAATTGGCAACCTCATTTAAAAGCTCATTTATATGGTATCAGTACAGTGTACACTAAAGTACAGAATAAAGATCTCAATTATAGTAACATCTAGCATATACTATTCATTAATATGTATAGATTTTTATTCTACATTTTAGTGAGCACATCGCTAAAATGAATTCATTACCCTATCAAACAATTCATAATCGCATCAAAAATAAATCTTTTTGTAATTCCAAAAAAAATGTTACTTCTCGACTCAACATTGCACGTTTACATTTGGGTAGCAAATATGGGGAAAACATTTACATTTTGATATGAAAAGGCTCAGACATTATAAATAAAGTTGTGTGGTTTCTTCACATTCAGCTAATAGAACACTGTAGAACATACAGAATGTCAAGGAATGTTTAGTACACATATCTTCTCTACCTTCTTGCACTGCACACACTGCATGGCAAACTGCTTCTCATAACAGGGCACGCAGTAATTATGCGCATCCTTGGGAATGAAGCTTTTGGTTCCTATGGGCTGTTGGCAACGATGGCAGGTGAAGCATGTCTCATGCCAGCTATTGCCTTTGTGCTCCATCTTTCGAGTGCCTGTTGGACAGAGACACGTGGAAGTGCGACAGTTCTTTTAAACATGCAGAGAATGTTTGTAGTGCCTTTAATTACTGTGGGTGCACCTTAATGAGAGGCTTATTCATTTGGCTTTTATTTCATTTAACGGCAGAGGGAAGACAACTTAAAATCTACTAGATGTTTTCTCCTAACTATTGTTACGAAAATTGACACATCACCTTTGAAACCTGTTACATTTAACTTCATACCTCTAAGGTGATGTGGTCTGGAACTTTAAGTAACATCTTCATCGAGTTTCAGGACAGAAAACCTAAACAAAACTCCCAGGGTTCTGCATTCAAATTACTATGTATGAATATTTGGCTTCTTTTCCTTTATGTCAAATGTTTGTTTCCCTCACCCTCTTTCATGATGATCTTCTTTGACTTTGACCTATAACTAAAAGGCAGTCTCCATAAAAATATTGTATCAGTGTAATAATGTCTCAGAAATTGTCCAATCTGTTAGGCAAGCCACACTAATCGTCATTTCTCAGAGAGCCGTAATGGTGAGCAAATTTATATCCATTAATATATTTTTGAGTAAGTGAAAGCTCATAAGTCAGGACAGGACTCACCTGGCATGATGGTTTTCTTGCATTCATGGCATTTGGAGGAGTACTCATTGGAATAGCACTCAGTACACAGCAGGAGCTCATCCTTGGCAGAGAAGGGTTTGTCCACCAGGGAGCGCTTGCACTGAAAGCAATGGAAGCAGTCTTCATGCCAGTGACGGTCCTTGTAAGAGAGATCCTGAAACATTTGTGGGAGAAGCTTAGTGCACTCGTTAGGGATCACACTGAATGTGATCTACAGTACCAATTTACCCATCAATCTATCAAAACAGTTCCCAGTTAATATACCCTGTTGTTTCACATTTAACTCTTGGCATTGTATTATTGTTTTATTAAAGTAGCTTTGTAAATTTGTGAATGGCTGTATTTGTCCTTAAATTTCATTAATCACTTTTGTGCATTTTTCTTACAGTAGGATCTACAGCTTGCAATTTTCTTTTGCTCCTTTCCATGATTTCCAGATGACTCAAACTATTCTGTGTTTGTGCTGCACAGTACATAAGGATTAACAGTATTAAAGGCTATGGTAAAATCCTGAATGATGACATTAGAAATGCCCATGAAAATGGTGGTGCTATAATATTGGAGCTTTAACTCTGTGCATACAAACTGGTGCTGCTCAATCAGAAAAAAAGCAACTTTAATGATTGTGTAACAGCTTATGAGTAAACCAACAAGAATGAATGTTTTTAGGCTCAGTGGTCTTGGAAAATCAGGAAACAATTTGGACACACTGAATTAAAAAAAAATCTCAGGTTCTGTAGCTGCACAGATTACATCTGGTTTGGTATTAAAAGTATAATTTTAGTCTATGAAAATATTTGAGAACATAAGCAAAGGTCATTAAAAATTAAAATGTGTGACACAATGATGGAAAAGAGACAATTATATTAAATTTGCAAACACAAATGCATTGTAGTAACAACATACTGTAGGAATATAAAGTAATTCAATATCATGTTAACAAATACATTTGGAAGTAGAAAGACAGGATTCACTGATAATGTAATTACCAAAATAACGTTTTTGTAATAAAATACTATATATCAATGGCAACAGAATTGCTAGAATAATAAAAGTTGTTTATACCAATAAAAGTCTTTGTGTGTTTCAGTGACAACTAATAATGGTCATGTTAAAACCACAAATCATAGCATTGGATATATAAATATAATTTGAAATGAAGTATTATAGTTTTTAGTTGTTTGTTTTTTGACATGAAGTTTCACCATCTATTTCTTCCTCTGCTTTGTCATGCTTTTAGTAAGTAAAGTAAACAGATCTCTTTTGTAATAAAGCAAATAAGAAAAATAGCTCCTCTGTCACAAGATGTTGGGAGTTCTCACAGCAAGATTAAACTGTAATGAACGATCCTTTACAGAAGTAAAAAGATCACAGCAAAATATTCACAGAAAATACAATCATCTGGGATCAAAAAAATATATTTTCTCTAAACAAAAAAGCAAATACAAGCTTACAATAAAGCACTACATGGATGCCGAAACCATTATTAATGCCATGTGTTGAAATTGTATTTTCAATTTCCAAACATACTTTGGCTTATTAAGATTAGTTGCTGGAAGAGCACAATAAAAATAGTTACGGGATTCCTGAGCACTGAGCTAGCAGCCCTGAAGGATGGTTTGTTTACAAAATGGGAAATTTCCTCATTCCATTCATAAGATCCTTATACCAGACTCCTGTTTCTAGTATTTGTTTAGAGTCCCAGATACTTTATATCACTAAAGACTACAAGAGGGTAGAAACAAACTGTGCATCCTTTATAATCCTTGTTCTGAACCAAAATCTTCAAGGACTCCAAAAACATTATGTAAGGCTCTTTTTAATTGTCTCCAGATGACTTCTGTACTTTGTCAGGGTTTAAAGCATTATTGCCATTGCCCTAAATATTACAAGAGCCCGTATAAGCCTAAGACTTCTCTGGATTATCAGATCCACAGTCAAGTTTAATATTGTTATTATGTTGATTTTTACAACCACTCACTACATGGGAAACTTTCTAAGTCTCAAAAGGAATTTTGTGACCAGCTGATTCAAAAAAGGGGAGAAAAAGTTTGAGAAACTTTTAAAACCATGTAGTTTTCTTGGAAAAGCAGAATGGTTCAGTCAACCAGACACAACTTTTCATCCATTTTCTTTCTACTTTAGCCAATATAGGGCTGCAAGGCAGCCAGAGCCTATCCCAGCAAGCATAGAGTTCAAGACAAGATACACCCTAGATGGGACACCAGTCCATCACAGCGCACACACAGACAGAGATGCACACGCACACTATCGGGGGGGCTATCTGCGTGTAGCTTGCATGTTCTAACAATGTTCGTGCAGGTTTTCTCCAGGTGCTCTGCTTTCCTCCCACAGTCCTAAGACATACTGGTTGGTTAATTGGCTGCTAGAAAAAATGCTTGTGTGTGTGAATGTGTGCATGTTTCTGTCTGTGGGTCCAGGGTGTATCCTGCCTTGTGTCTGTTGCTTGCTGAGACAGGCTCCAGCTCTGCCGCAATCCTGTATATAGAAAATAGATGGAAGGATAAATTGATGACAATAAGAAAATGAATTTCTTATTTTAGATGTTAATAGGATCTAAAATATCGTTTCAGGAGAGAATTCATAATGTTTGATGTGGAATGGCAAAGTTCAAACTGGTTTGTGTGTGGGAGTTTTGTTCCCTTGTGCTGCCTGGTTTACTAGAACATACAAAAGCTACAAAAAGAGCTACAAAAGACTGAGGAGGTTCATTTCAGTTCTGGAGTCAACATCCGCATTGTGTAATAGGGATTTCATTTGCTTCTGTTGCCTTCATGTTTGATTATCCTCTCTATATATATTTTTGTATTGTAATTTTATTTTCTTTGAACACTGTGAATAGCAAGTTCATTCCTGCTCCCTCCCCACTTCCTCTCTACTAGGGATGATTTCCCATATGGGTTCTATTAGTGCAAAAACAAGCATCACTACGTGAATGTAAGTGTAGGAATTTTTAGATTTGCATTTTTTTGCGTTTCCTGGTTCTCACTTTAACTGTATCACCACTTTTCAAACGTATCTCTTATTTTTGCAGAATAATTCAAGAACAACTTTCAGAAACAAATCTTATTACTGAGGCATTTTAACTGAGAAGAGGACGTCTATTAATCTTTTTATACAGTATATGTGCTACACAATTATGTACAAATCATAGTGCTAATGGACTTTGAAATCTGACTAAATCTTTTGCCTGTAGTCAAGAACAGTGTAGACTTGCTAATTGAATGGAAAAAACAGGGTTCCTCAGTACTAGCTTCAAGGAGAGGGCCTGCTGTTCAGTTCAAGGTCTCTGCCAAGGACAGAACAAAGATTTGATCAACCTGAGGTTTGCAGTGGCTCTGGAGATCACTGTACTTCAAGTCTCACTTAATTTCGAACCTAAGGGGTACCTCATCATCTTTATTGACCAAATTTACTTTACAATTATTCAGGTGTGGAACCTAAATAGAAAATTCCAGGACATTCTTTCATTATTTTACTTTATGAATCATTTTTAAATGTGGCAGAATTTAGTAATGCACAGATATGGTGATTTTTAGATTGCAGGATTAGGTCCCACAACAGCAAAACATTCAAGAACAAAACCTTTTCCTAATCCGAAATGATTGTTTTTGAAAAGACCATGTTAATTCTTACTGTCCCATTCACCAGAGTTCACATTGTTTCCCTAAAAAGGACATCCCCCATGCCTATTGCATTTAAATATTTTAGACTTAGAAAACACAGAAAACTTGAACCAAAATGCAAATAAAAATTATTTAAATGTTTAAGATTAAACATATTACAGTGTTAAAATGAAAATGTTTCTAAGTCAGTATTAAGTAGAACCGCCACAGATATGATAGGCTATTACATAGATGTCCTGTATGGCTGCAGCCAGCTAGTGAGAATTGGCTAGTTGCAGTTATGTTGACGACTTTGCCAAGTTGTTCCCACAAAAAAGAGTCAGATCAGAAGAAAAAGCTGACCACGGCCAAACCATTGTTTTCTGGAAGTAGTGTCTTTCTAATCCCAGTACTTTGTCCTGCTGGAAAATTGACACTTCAGGATTCACTTTGAGGAACACAAAATTTTGGCTCAAGGACTTCCTCAGTGTAACACTGAGCAGTAAGGTGCCCTCACTTTGGCCAAAGACATTCTTGTGTAAAAGGACATTCTTCTCCAAATCATCACACAGTCAGCAATGCCCAGTTGGCTTGAACAATTAACATAATTATCACCGTGATTGTTCTAGACATCAGGTCTGTCGAGGGAAAGACAACACTCATTAATAAATAAAAAACTTCACCACGCTCTAGCATTAGCTTAGATATTCTCTGGTCCACAGAAGATAGTTATTTAGTTTTTCCACTATTCATGGTAACCCTGCAAGGCATCCAAGAATACAGATAATTTTTAAGCAAACAGAAAGCTACAGTCATTCTTCTGATGTACTATCTACAGTATACAGGATATTTTCTTGCTGGAAGTAATGCTAGAATCACTGTAGTCTGAAGATGATCACAGAGATAAAGGTTTTGATCCTGGGCCAGTGTGGTGACCTTTAGCTTTCCTGGATTTCTGGACTCGTCGGCTGATTGTTGCAGCTGGGTCCCTCATTGTCTGGACAAGCAGTGTTCAACCATTCCAATAGAATGATTGAGGTGAACTTCACTACTCCAGCAGGGCATATTTACTGATTTCACTGTGCTTGCTTTAAAATTATGCTTGTTTGACTTAGTCAGAATATTAATTAATCATTTCTTCAGCTTTATTACCAAACACTGATCACCTTGTGTTTTTATGAAATGTCATGATTGTGGATCAGTATTTTGTTATCCTGGGGAACAGTATTATTTAAACAGTAAACAAAGATATACGCTCACTATTTAGACGATAAATAATGTTATGTACTGTATGTGCTTTCACTGTGCATTAATGTAGCTTTAAAACTGAAAAGCCATATATTGTACTTTCCAGTCTTCCCTTGCAAGTTCATATTTTATCTTCTTGCAGTCATTCTTTTTCATTTTGAAACTGAGCGGATTTTGCACATTTTGTCTGCCTCATGTTAATTAATTGCTAGTAATTTCATGCTACGACAGCCACAGCTAAGTTTTTTGAGCAACTACAGAGAAATATGTTGCACCTCCATGGCCTAGCTGCTCAGTGAAGTGTAATAAAAAATCATCTAACATAGATCTGATAGTCTGAGCTCCTGACAGGGCAGCTCCTGCTGTGCTCATTTACACAGTGAGTGATTTCAGTTTGAAGAGCATTCCTTCGCATACCAATGACTTCTATATGTTTTCTACAGAGCCACTGGATAGTCTTTTCACTTTTGTATTGCTTTATTTTTAATCTGATACAAATTTAGCACCCATGTATGCTATTAGTTATTACCATTTATCTTTTTATACCCAATAACAATGAGAAATATATTAATATTAATACTAGTAGTAGTACCAGCTGTAATAGTAGTCTTGATAGTGGTAGTAGTAATAGCAGTGTAGTAGTATGCTATAAGCAATGTTGTTACTGTGAGTTATCAGTTAATCACCTAAAGATATACATCTGTATATTTGTGTATAAAGACCAGAATGGACCCTTCCATAGATATATCACAGAAGGCAAATTGACTCCTTAAAGATGTTTTTCTAAACATTTTCTGTAATTTATGTATGGAAATTTTAAACAGAACGCTATTCTTTCCTATCTATACTCTTCTGAGCAATCGATATCTGCCAGAGATAATAACTTCACTAGCTGATTCATGCATCTAATGTTTTGACTCAGTTTTTACTCAGGAGCTGTGATTATTTTGTGTGATTTTAGTGACAGTACAGGTGAAAGTGAAAGAGACATCTAATAATGTGTGTATTACCATCAGACCTCATTCACAAGGACTGTAAGCACCATGAAATTCAGGTGTGAACATCAACCATGTGAGCTCGGTCTAAACCAAAACTCTACTGTAAGTCTAGAGATCAGGAAGTCAGCACAAAGTACTTCTACCACACCTTCCTGGAATGTGTCAAAGAATGAAAGTAATCCCAAAGGGTTTGCAAGCGTCAGAGAGAGTGGGAATTGATTAGCATACAGGCAATTCCTAGGGCAATATTTGCACTTCAGGCAAATCAATTTCAAACATGCCTCCATGTTTCTAATGAATAAATTATGGTGTTTGGAGCAGAAAGTGACACAGGGGATAATTGACAGGAGGCAAACACAGCCCCCTGATGGGATGTGTGATGACTACTGGAGGGTGGCAATGTGACATACTTTGCTGTTGCAGCCGATGGGTTTCTTGCATTCCTCACAGGCGTTGGAGTAGAGACTCTCATAGCACTTGACACAGTAAGGGTTCTCCTCCCGAAGGATGTACTTCTTCCCAAACAGGGACTCTTTGCAGTAGTGGCAGTCGAACCGCTCAGTCATCGTGACTCCAGGGAGCCGCCTCACACCTGACTGTGAAAGAAGAAGCCGTTAGAGCATTCTGTGGCTTCATTAGTATTGCAGGTAAACATAATTACTTTAGACATTCATTAACCTCGGGGCTCTTGGGAAATCTTCTGAGGAAGATAAGGATACTGTTCAAATTTCAATTAAACCGATTTTGCCGCGTGTGCATTCAGCGTTATATATCGAAAATAACACTGAGGTTAAAAAAAAATTAGATACTACCTATCTCAATAAACATAATGCTCTACTACAGTGCAATTAATTTTTTGGTAAATTAAAGCTAATGCTAGCACTGCACATTCTATACAGTATAATTTATATATGCAGAATATGTGTGCATACAGTACATATACAGTACATATATTTTCCATTAGTGAACACAATTGAACAGGAATATAGTAATATCAGCGACAATTGCGTCTGTACTACTTTCTTGATTATTAGCACCTTATGTATGCAGGAGGTACAGTATAAGATCTTACAGGTTTGAAGTTCGTGTGGAAAAGTGGGATGTACTATGGTCTTATCATTAGTTTTACCCATAACTACAAATTAATACACGCATTACCATAGGACTTGTTGTTTCCTAATTCATTTACATTTGTGAATTAGCCCACATTCGTAAAACTGGAGCTACTGTATACCAACAAGATGAAGTATCAGTTCCTAAGCAGTCTTCCGTATGATTCAATAAAGTGTGTTGACAGTAACAAAAAATACATTTACATTAAGTCCAGAAGGAAAAGAATATTAAGTAGTCCCGAGTCAGAAACTTTCAGCAAGTAATTACATAAACAAAAAGTGTTTCAGTCCATTGTCTTTGTTTAAAGTCTGACTGGAAACATTCAAAAAATTGATTAGAATCTAATCTCATTAATACAGAATAAGGTTGTGCTGCAATCATTTCCAAAGTTTTTGTTTTGTTACTTTACTGTAGGTAAAGTATTATAATGTAGTTTTAAATTCCCAATTGAATTTGGGATTGAGAATGATGTTGTATTCTTGAGCAAGGAGCTTCACTTAGAATGCTCCAGTAATGTTCATAGCTGTACAAATGGGTACAAATGGCTAATTATTATGCACTTCACACCAGGAACCTTTAAGCCTACAGGAACAAGACAATATTTCAAGGACCAGTTGATGAGGTTAGTAACATACTGTATGGACAAAAAGCACAGAATGAGTAAAGGTGAAGGAATTGGTTCCAAAACACAGGCAGCAGGACTTTAGTCTGCCAACTCAGTTACATAAGTGGCACCCACAGTATAATATTAAAATGGTGGAAAAAAGAACTATAGAATTATGTTGTCCCTTCTTAATGAGACTGGAATACAAGGAGGATCTGCCAGGTGTAAGAACATCCCTATAGGGCAGTTACAGTCAGTCCCAACCTCAACCACAAAGGCTGAAGACATTGTCCTACAGTAGAATCTGTGTAAACAATCAATTTACTTAGAAGAAATGCTACAGAGCTTGTTAGCACTGTTAATAACTCAGAAAGCACAGGCACTGGAGCAGTAGGTTAATATTTGAAACAAGGCCTTTCTGGTATTCATCTGTGTCAAGACTAAGAAAAGGAGTTTTTAGCCAGTCAGTGTTTAACAGATGCTTTAACACAGCAATATATCTGGTAATTCTTCTCTGGACTGATTCCAGAGCACCATGATTTGGTGCATCCTGATGATCAAAATAGTACAAAATATTTTAAATTTTACTCGTTCCTTGTACAAAACAACACAACATCCAAATACATGCATTATTTTAGAATTATTATTTCATTAAAGACTTCACCGAAAACCTTCTAAAATCTCATACATCTGTTCGTACCCATTATTATACCCATTATTTGATTATTCAGATACAGTAAGTCTAACAACATACTTAAGGAAGACCTACTTTTTCTAAATCCATGTTGATTATTCTCATCCCTGTAACTATGACTATAACTGTATTATCCTAATAGTTCTAACTATTAATCTTAAAACTTTATCTTTGAATATTTTTTAAGTGGGAAACCATGTAGTTTCTGAGACCCTTGAGTCATCTAGGTTACATTCTTGTGCCTGAATGCTCTTTCTGATATGTGGGGCTACACTTTCTGTTCATCTTTCCTGACTCATTGGAATGCTGTGTATTGACTAATGTTCTCTTCATCTTCATTTTTCTTTATTAGCCGTGTTTCTGTAGTACCAATTACATCATAACTGCAGTAGTGTCTATCTCTTATTTTGCTTTGAATACTCCTAGTGTTTAGACATAAACACTAAATTGCTTAGTCTTTAACTAATTACTTAATTACTGGTCCTTTGATATCTTATTTTTCCTTTGGGTTCTCTTTTCAACTTTAGTCTCCACGTATCTTCCTTGAATATTTCCTTTGGATTCTCCCCCCTTGTTCTCTCATTAGAAAGTTGGAATTTTTCTTTAGATCTCTACTCCAAGCTGATTGGTGATCCCACTTCATTCAAATGTAACTTGTACAGATAGCCTTTTGCTTACAGTGGTTAAGAAAGCTGAAGCACAACAACCTCTGCTACATGTTGTGTTTATGGAGTAATATTTACTGTTCATCTTTGCATGGTACAGATCACAATTTTTGCCCTGCTGTTCAGTTTTTTTCCAAGGTCTTTGAATTTGTTTCATAGAGAACAAGTCCTATTATGCCAGTTGACCTAACAAGTGAGTGCTCACCTGCCTTTGATAGTTGACATTGAAAAGGTTTGTGATATTTCTCAGAATTAATGTTTTATTTCTAAATGTGCTTTGCTTATTGAACCAAAACTAAATGTGTTTTTAATCAGTTTTAAATCTGTACTCAAAACATTAAGCATCCCAAACTACTGCTGTTCTCTACAATATTATAGGTTAGCTTTACAAAACCCAGTACAAATTACTGTTGAGTCAAGATTAAATTCTGGACAGAAGACCTAAAATATTGTTACCATATCCAGCAAAAGAAGAAAATCAGGACTGAAGTACAGCTGTTTTAAACCTGCAGATTTTTTTTCTTAGACTAAAATCAGCATAACATGAAAAAGATTCACTCCCATTATTATGTCAAAAGATAGTACAACCAGCAAAAGGAAAAACTATTCAACGTATCTGTACTTAGTCTTTTCTCACTGAATGCACAATTGCTATTAATCTTGTTCTGAAAGCTTAATTGGGGCACAAACTAGATAGAATTGCAACAGCATTGATGTAATGTTACAGTAGTTGGTCTAATCTACAGTATAATTCTATAGTGGGCATGTAGAATGGACAACCTAAATTCTCATCTGATGCATTAGTATAGTACAGATAAATAATGAAACATACACACATAACAATGCATTAACCTGGAACCTTAACTTCCTCTTAGGTTGGATAATAAGAATCTTTAAAAGCAATTGCTGCAATGCTGTGGCAATAATCACTACTCACAATTCAGGCCAGAGTTGGCTAATATCTTCCCTGTGAAGCCCAGGTTATCACAATCATAAAGCAGTCCAAATCAGGCACAATAGCTCATTGGTTCTGTTGAAGTCATTGTCTCCAGATCTCCCTGGAATTTTGCTTTCTGCATGCAGGCAACACCTCTACTATCTGCTAGCAACCCAGCAGTGAGTGTTCGAGTGTTCACTGTGAAGGCTTTGCTGCCTTAAGAAACCCCCTCTATGGTTTTACCATATAAGGAGGTAAAAGCTGGGAAACCTCTCTCTTTTCATGCTGGCTGCAGCTGGCAGCAGACACTATCATTTCCATTGGATTATTTATCAGTGCTTTATTTTTTTCGCTTGTTTTTTTTTTCTTTCCCAGAAAGCTGCTACTTGTTTTAGACAGGAAGAAGACGCTTTGTGTAACATCAAACATCAGATATTGTAGAAGAAGAAGAAAAAGAGTGTTCAGTGCTTCATGACCTATCATCCTACGTACCTACAGTACATTTGTTATGCAATCTTTAGACTTTCAGCTGTGGCACTGTATCATGAAAGGTGCTATATAAACCAAATAATTTGAATAATGAAATTACAGGTGAACAACAAGTTATTTTGCAGATATATAACATTTTAATGTGTTGAAGGGTTATGGTTATTGTTTGGAATGTGCTGTTCTTTGAATATGTTGGTCTTTAAACTAAATATGCTGTGGACTCAAAGTTGTTGTTAGACTAGCAATGACAACAGAAGCAAGAAATCGTTTTAAACCATCCTTCCAGAATTAAGCCATGATCGAATCAACAAATGATCAAGTTACTTAAATGAAAATGCCTTTGAAAATCAAAGTCACATTTCAACAGTAAATCTTGTCTATGACTTTGATGTATGTGCAGCTGACTTCAATACTAATTTCTGTAATGGTCAAGAATAAACTTTCTTTCACAGCTGCTGACAAATAAAGATTTATAGCAAATGCTTTTGCAAGTTTTATACATGATAATGAATAGCAACGTGATGCATTTAATTCCTGGGAATTAAGTTATTTTTAATTACTGTAAAATATTGAATCAGATTATCAAGTGTGTGTATCAGTATGTCTGACAGAAGTATTATTTAATGTCAATTGTAATAATGTTTTGATTGTTTTAATTTGACAAAGTTTGATTTTGCTTCAATAATAATAAAAAAAATCCACACAAATTGTTACATTTTGTATGTTTCTAATTTTTTTCTACTGTCTTCATTTACTATATGTTTTAAGGAAGTGCAAATTCCGGTGTTTACAAAATATTTGGTCCAAAAGAAAAGCTAAACATAGCTTAGAATCCACACAGACAAGAAATATGCTTGCTGAAGTCTAAAGAAAGACATTTGTTTGGACATGATTAATTTCTCATGTTTTACTCCATCGTTGATAGCATGTGGTCTGTAAAGTTTGAACCACCATTTGAAAGCACAAATCAAATCTTTCTCTCTCTAATTAGATTTTAAAAGGCAAATAGGCCAATAAGAAACATGCTTCTCCTGTTATACACAACTTGTCTATTAAAATTCCTTCTGAGGGCAAAAAATAAATTTCACAAGGTTATTGAGGTATGGTGAAAGAGGTAATCATTGTTTCTTTTGTCATAACTTGAAGTAAACATTTTGCTTTGTTTGAAATGAATTATTTATGTGAGATGTTCTTTAAAAGGAGTATCCTGAAAGTGTATGTTGTTAAATTTAGTGTAACTGTATGTAGTCTCATGTTTACTTTGGTTTAACCATAGTTTTATTATGGCATTAGAATCCAATGGATTTAACATAATTCACTTTAATGATGCTCTATACTTCTACATGTACCATTGGAATATCATAATAAACCATTCATTACACATTTCCTAGGGAATGTAACCTATAATACTGTTGTACTATTTTCCAAAATAATTTTACGTAAGGGAAAGGCTTTAAAGATGATAATTTAAGATTTTTTTTTTGCTAAGTTTCCAGCTAGATTCCTCACTGACTTACAGAGGTTTCCTCTTCACAAGGTACAGTGTATGATACTTTGTTTCCACACCACCTGCAATAGAAATGTCAAGGTTTTCAGGCCAGCTTGGCTCATAACAACCTGAAAGAGCTCATTATTGAGTTAATTGGACCAGTTCAACAGCTTCTCCTAGCTCTTCAGGTGCTGGTGCTTTAAACCAAACTGAAAAACCTACAGACAGACCAGCTCCACATGATCAGGACTGGGGATCCTTGAGAAATGTACTGTAGAACAGAATCCATATGCTCTTATTATTGTTATTTTTTAATGTAAACAAGTAAAACATAGGTTTCTCATTAAAAATCATTTCAAATAAATAGTAAAATCACAAAGTATGACCCTATTTACACTAGCAGCAAAAAGCAGCATGAATTATAGAAGTGAATAACTATCACCAAATTGTTGAGAAGAAGAGGAGTATCACATTAGTTTTCTTATAAATGAAGCCCATTTAGACTAAAGCACTTCAGGAAGTCAATTCCTTTCCTGAAACTTAGAAAATTGTTTTTTTTTAGTATTTTTTTTTTAGTATTTACAGTTTTTTAAGCAGTTGGCACAAATATCCGTGGAAATTACAAACACCACACCATATAGTATATTCTGTCTCTCTCCATCTCCAGGTGCAATTCAGGTTACATAGCCATCAGATTTATGTGATGAACAAATCAGAATGGGGCACCAGGGAATAACCATGGGAAAGATCAGGAATTATGGTCTGTGGTGTTATCAGCAGTTTTTCTCTTATTGATTTTCTGCCTAGACCCAAAAATATAAACTAACTATGGAGGAGGAAAGAAATAAAGAAATAACATTTTGAACAATTCGTTTTCTTTCAAATGTGGTTCTTTTAAAAAATAAACGGCAAATTCAAAAACCTTGACAGTATGCAGCAGAACGCAGATATAGTTGGTCGCTAAATGCTTTGATTCAGTCCAAAGCCACTTTCTAATTTAATTGTGTGCCAAGTGGTCCAAGCCTGCTTCCTAATCCCAGCTGTCATTCAGCACTCTGGCAAATGCTCTTCAATAGAAGTGAATGTTCCAGTGATACAATGAGCTAATTAAAGAAAAAAGTTCCACTGTTCTCCCCCCAAGGAATGCTTGTTTGTCATAGATTGGGAATGCTACTTTGCTACTAAAGTAAAAGAAACAGGTGGTAGTCTTTCAAAGCCTTTCAAAAGATGCCGGAGGTCAGTATTAGTGATAATTAACACACACATTCCCCCAACAGCTCACAGCAGAAGGAAAGATATAGAAAATTAGTAACAGGGATATACAGGAGATGAAATTGAGTGAAAAATTGACGTCAAAAACTTCTCATATATAGGGAAGATCCTAACACATGAAGAAGAAAACTACCACAGAATTAGACTTTTACGATATTTAAAACATACTGTATACCTGTACTAAACAAAAGCCTTACAGTGCATTTAGAAAGAAATTAAATATGTCCCTCTTGTGTATCTTGGAAAACTCTACCACTGTAAGTTGAAGGGGTATGCAAAAAATATGCAAAAGATCTTTTGTTCCAGGTGTTCCAAGCCCATGAGCACAGAGAACACAGATTCCTTGAAACAAAGTAAAGCCCATCCAAATTCCCTGCACAGCCCATTGGAATGCCAAGTTCTATTTAAAGTTCAGAATGGGATTTAGGTCCAGAACAAAGAATTCTAGAAAAAGTACTGTATATTGCTTACTGTATATCCAACTTGTTTTGCATTTAAATAGCTTACTGTAAATTGTTAAAAATAAAACTCTTCTATGTTGAAATATTCAGAACATTTTTGTATTAATACCATTTCCAAACTACTTTTCCAATTTTTAAGGCATGAAGATAAAATATAATACACCAAATTTTGATATCTATGCCACAGTTGCTTTAATTGATATTATTGGAAATACCACGTAAAAGAATGGTGTTAAAATATTGCTTACTCTGTTGATTGACATCGCATTTTTATAAGCAATTTCATAGTATAAATTAATGGAAGAGTTATTTTTCATATATGTGACACCAAGGTATGGTTTATATTTTTACATAAACCATAACAGTACTGACAAACACATTAGAAATCCTGCAGTTTTCCATGGTATTTTGTTCTATAGTTACTATAGATACAATTTCATTATGATATGACAGGGACACCTATAAAACAGAGAAATTTTGACAATCTAAGAAAAAAATCAGATAAAAAATCTCACTACTTTACTGCTTTGCGATATTTGTTGTATTCAAGTAGTTAATCAATTCAAGTAGTAGTGTCATTTAATTTAAAAAAAAATCCAATTAGACAATTTTACAGGTATTTAGTGACTGATGATTTAGCAATAAAACTGATTGTTTCTTTCTAGGAAAAGGGGATCTTACCCTATATTATTCAATTGAAATGTTTATGCCTCTCTCACACTGTTACTCCCTTTAATCATTTCCAATTGTGCTTTAGTGCATGCACGGTTCATTCTGTTTTAATAGTGTGTAATTATGCCGCAAAATATTGTCAAAGTAAACTAATCCCATAGTCCTGACGGAGTGTCTGTAGCATAATCCAAAACAGAGACAATACATGTTGAAATTTAAATTAAATAATACCTGTGAAAGACCATCATATATACATTAACCAACAAATGTCTTCATCCAAATGAAAACTTAATCCTCTTATTTTAATCTTAATCAACTATGAGAAGGCACTGAGAGCATCAATTTCAATTAAAGGTTTAAAGTGGTTCTCATGGGAAGATCTTTAATTAGCAGTATTATTTTTATATGCATTATCAGCTTTCATCAATTTGTTAATGATATCCCCTCAGTGGGTATACATACCACTCCTTATTTTCTTTCATTAAGATGCTTTCACTTTGATTGACAAATGAAATATTTTCTTATGTTTAAACGGCCGTTTTGTTTTTAACACTTCAACATGCATAGAAAAAAAACAACTTAGAGTTGTAGGATGCAAGTCAAAAGTTCAACATGTAAAGTGTGCTAAAATGAAAATGTTCTCTGTTACAAATCAAAATGTCCCCAAAATGTAAAGGAATTGATGCTGTTTGTAGTGCAAAAAATACAGTACAATTCCAATATTTTGAGCAATACTGTTAATACAGAAACAAAATTCTGAAGCTCGTCTGTTGTTCATGTCCTAAGACAAAAATATTTAGATAAAACTCACAGTCTGAAAAATATACCATCCTTAATTCTAAGGTAAATAAGGATGTAGGAAGAAAAATCCCCTAATTACAATGAAATTATCAGAATGCATAGAACCTAAACTTTCTGAGAGCGGAAGTGAGGAAGTCCTTACCTTTCTATAGTGATGTGCTGCTTCCCAGAGCCCCAGCCAGAGAATGAAGTGACTGAGAGAATGCTTCTGAAGTTATTGCTTTATTGGATTACTTGACCTATGGATCTGGTAATTGGAGGGACGGGCTTTCTTTATCCAGATGAGCTATAAATACAGTGTCTCCAAAGCACCCGACATCCACAAGAGATAAGTCCACTTTCACTGTGTGCCACTGGCCTTTTAAGGCTTCACATTGTAGTTCAGCACACCCCTGAATGGAAAGCCTCCAGCCTGATCTTAGAAACTGTATCCCACTGTCCAACCACCCCCCAACTCTCCCCCCATGTCAAGGACAACCATTAAAAAAATCAACTCAGCTGTGTCAGCTTGCAGCCTAATTAAAAAGAATTAGCCAATTTAGCAAATTAAAAACATGCTATATTGCTTATGCTACATACTAAAATGCATTTACGACAAAATTAGAACTTGCAAATTGTGAGAAATGTATACATTTTCACAGTGTTAAATTCGAAATGTCTTAGCTACCCGGCTGAACGAATAAATGTGAATAAAAAAAACGTGCTCACTCACATAAAGTGAAAACCCAAACGTGGTATTTCCAGAACTTCTGATATGTCCCATGAATTAATGCTGTTCCACGAGAGGCACACTGTTTTGAGTTTTTTGAGTTTTGAGTTTTTATAAAATATCTGTCAATGGCAACAGCAACAACTCCGAGGAGTTATAAAGTGGTGTAAACTGCAACTGAAACTAAATGTAGTTTACAAAACATCAGCAATGGGCTATTCCTAAGTGAACAGCAATGCCATTGCCACCTCCAGTCTTCAGTCATCTGCAGAATTCCCCTTTTTTCATTCCACCACTGACCTAAAGTACTAAATTGAACTTATTTGCACAATAAATCTTAACTTAGTTGTTTTAAGCTTAACAGTCTTGATAAATAGCTAATTAAAAACCTGAAACAGGATCTAAATGGTTGTAGTCATCCATTCCTGCTGCCAAGACTGCAAACAGCGGTGTGTGCGAGAGATGTCTTGGTTAACAATTGTTTAAAAGAAGGTAAGAGATATTTCAAATTTTCAGTTCCTGCCTCATGTCTTGACTTCTTGCTGAAAGTGTAACTACAGATGCTCCTTAAGAGCTGGAGAATTTAAAATAGAAATGTGATTAATTTCAAGCCAGAAATTACAATTGTTTCTATTGTGTTTTATGTAGTTGCAGTAAAAAATGGTTCAGATAATGACACTGTCATCAACTCAATCTTATTACGGTTCTCATATATTTTATGTAGATTCATACAAGTGATGTAAATAGCATTCTAAAGAGTGCATACTTATCAGATGAGTTGAATCAGCAAAATATTGATTTTGTTGTATTTATCTTTTCTATTTTGGTTATTTCCTCAGATATACTCAAATAGTGCCAACCAACCTGGACAATATGTCAATATTGTCAGGATCCGTGGTTAATGGAAAAGTTACAGTGCTAAACCACACCTCATACCTGCCATGTGAAAGATGCTATTGAGCATCCTGCCTAACTTACTACTCCCGCCTCCATCTAGCCAAACTCCAGTGATGTTCAGTGCTGCCCCTTCTGCTTGAAGGAGTCATAAGGACAGGAAAAAGTTAGAAATTATGGGACAACATCAGCACCAACAGTTGTCAAGGACTTTTCAAATCCTCCGCTCAGTCACAGGTATGCTTTCTGGAGGTGATGTCAACAGGCCACCTCTCCTCCTCAGGTTCACTCTGGAACCTGCAACAGTAAGGTTCACATCAAGCCAATGTTCCAGGATATTTACTGTACACAAGGGTCAGTAAAACTGGTTAAAAAGTCTGTTCATAAAAAGTCCATTCCACACATTGCAATGGGGATAAAAATGGGGGAATAAGGCTCGTACTGTAGCTTAGATTACATTTCAGTGAATCTTCCAGAATTTGCTTTGCATGATAACCACATTAAGAGACAAGAATTATTTTACCTATTGGTAATTTTTTCAAGTGTTCTTAGAAAACGGGAAGAACTTCACTGACGTCTATGAGATATTGAGTTACTCACATTAGGTAAGCAGAAAATACTTTTCTGACAAGGTCCCACTTCAACACTATGTGTGATGAAGTTAGGAATCACCCTTGCACTTAAGCATAAGATAAAGCTGCCAGGCTGCTTGGCTGCCAGGGATGATAGGAACAGCTGTCAGGCTAGCAGTAATCAAGGTGGTGTTAAAATCCAGCTCTTACCACCACTGCCAAAACAGATACAGTGAAAGGTCATGGAAGATCTCCATGTCAATCTAACTGTAAATTATTCAGGCTTTTGAGCATAGACATTGCATGCTGGGACAGTCTGCAATGAAATCAATAGAAATAGAGGCACCAGACTGGTGTTAAACTAAAAGATCATTTATTGAATCTTCTGATAAATAGAGGATCAGGGACATCCATGCAGGTTAAAATCTCTTTGACAAGCCCTGTGTTATCTTTTTGTAAAAACCATTTGTTTTTGGTATATTTTCACTTCACCTGTAATTTAATTTCAGAGCAGTATAGGATAGTAAAAATAAAATGAGAATCAATAGAAGGCCTAAAAAACACAGGACTCCTATTGTTATTATTTCAGTTTAGTGTGTGAGAGGAAACAAAGCTCATTATTTAGAAGTCTTTTATTCATGTAAGAAATCTTTAAAAACACACAAGGACATTTCAAGTTAGACAATCTATGATCAGCCTCACAAACGGCGATTAATATGAATCACATTTACCAATCAAATTTAATTGACTCATTATCATATGTTCCCCTTCTTTAAAATCACCTTTCTACACACCCATAAATCTAAAAGTAATCTTTTTGAAGTACCAAATACAGATCTTAGATCTGTCAGTGTTAACTAAGCTTGAACCAAATCGTCAGGCAGAAGGCTAAACATTAAGTGAAAAGCAGACAAAATGTAAAAAAACTAAGCACAATATTTTGTTTAAAATAGATTTTTTTTCCAGCTTATGTTTGTCATAGAAGTAATATGGAAGAAAAAGAACTTGGTCTTCAGAAACATCTTATGATGCAATTTCTAACGAGACTGGGTAGTTGGTGGGAGAAACAAAATGCAGGCTTGAATTTCTAGATGTCTTTCTTTTTATAGAAGGCCAACAGCTCCCATCTGCTAATATATGACAGAAATGAACAGACTTGGCAAACAGCTATAGATAAAGATAACAGTTTAACATTTAGAACTGTTTAATTATGTTGGAGATAAATTTCTGCATTAAACGGTTCGATAATGAATGTCCTTTAGTAAAAGAAGGAATTCAAACTCTCGTGAATTAAAACAAGCCTTAGTAACATGCAGTGTGGCACACCTGGAGGCAGGCTGTCACATGCCAGGCTATCATTGGCAAAACAGTCAAATAAATGCAACAGTAAAAGAAAAGTTATAGTTCTTTTTATTTGCGTTTAACTCACAATACATAATTACCCGTGTCTACTTAGTTAAAACAGCTTTGAATTGACAATACATTTATAAACTAGTTACAAGAAATAAAATAAAAAAATAAAAATAAAAAAAAGTCCCCCCTCCCAGAAATGAAAAACCTCACAAGTTCCATCAGTAAGATGTTCTTTCCTTCTCGCCCACTGGTGCGGACACCTCACAGAGGATCTTGCTGCTTTCCCTGACATTTCTGGTCGGTTGTTCAGGTGACTGAGGATGGCAGGTCATTCCCCATTGCTGCTTGGGGAATGCGGTTCAGGCAAGAACGTCCATCTTGAGTTCATCACTAATGGACAGGAGAGAATGCTGATCAGGTTACAACTGTGTTTATCATACCCTATGTATCTGAAGTTACAAAGTTTCTCAGCAGGCACAATCTATTTGTTATTTTACTGAAGCTGCTGTTTGTGTATTTTGTTATTCTTCGTAAGGGTGCAACTTTCAAAGGGCATAGATTACCAATCTATATGTTAAGCTTTTGTCTCATGCCCAGGCCAGGACCGACTCGCGTCCTGCATTAGCAACATTCCCACTTCGCTCTGAGCCTGCCACTCAAACTAGATAGGGCTGCCTTTGAATTAAGCCAGCATTAGCCTACTGTAGTTCTCAATCAAGTTAATTAGGTGCCTTATTTAAGTCACCTCGAACTATTCTATCATTGCTCTGTCATTACTATTACTGGTTGTGCGAGCGGCTTTGGCTCTAGCAAGTAAAGCTTATTTGTTCAATTCCCTGAATTCCCTGAATAATGATACAGCGGATTTCCATTTGGGTCTTTTATTTTTTTCCTTTTTTCCCTTTTTATCATTTTCATTTAGACATTTTTCCTCACCTTTGTGTTTTTTTTCCCTTTTTTAATTATTCTTACACCATCGGCTCGACAGCTTCCTCCCTTTTTTATTTTTTGGCTGGAAACCTCACTTCTTTTTCGAAAGCCCGTTCTTTTTGGAGTTTCCTTTGCCTGCATCAGATCTCCCTTACTTTCTGATCCTGCCATTCTCCGCTTGCATTTTAACATTTTGTCATCCAGGCCTGGTTTTCGACTCACCCACTGTAGTACAGCTCTCCAGTGGCTGCTGCGTAACAGCTTTTCTTAAAAAATACAAAGATCTTTTTAAGAAAAGCTGTAAATATCTATAAATAGTGAAAAAATAAAAAAATATATACATGGTCAACTCATTGGTGACGTCTTTCAATAAACTGTAATAAAAGGAGCATCTCCCTACCTTAAATTTCTATAGGCCTGTTGTTGCTTAAGCTTGTGTAAAAACAGTGACCTCCACTTTCCTCCACAAAGTCTCAACTGATCTAATAAACTGTAGAATATTACCTCAAATATTTTATGTTTTCACTCTGCTAAAATAAGGTAATTTGTCTTTACAGTATGCTGTACTGTAGCTCTTAGCAACAAATCAGCTTCGCTTAATGGTTACACATACACAACGGTGTTTATCAAAGTAAAATATTAAATATCTTAGATGAAGACATTTCATAGTGGCGTGTGTTAATTACATTTTTTTAAAAGGAATTATGACAGCAGTAAAATCATCCAAATTTGGAATCTTCTTTGCACACTAATCCCCAAATGCTGCCAAATATTGGCCAAATAATTCAGAGGCATTGTAGCTCTTAACAGTTGTCTTTTATTTTAGTATCAAGAACTGTCTGTCAAAACTTTATCATTGTGAAACCACATACCAGTCTCTGACATTTTGACTAATGTGCCCACTGGAAAACTTATAATAGTGCTGCTATTGCAGCTGGCTGTCCAGGACTCTACAGACAGATCGGCCTTTTGATGTTTATATTTGTTGGAAACCCAGGGCACCCATCTACCCTGTGGAAATTACAGTATGGCAGTCCTACAGTATGTGACTCAGTGCCGTAGGACCAAACGTTTTGTAGCTTGTTATAGTCAAAATTCTCTACTTGTAACCACAGCCCACAGGTGTGTGCTCTTTTGTTTTCAAGTCTGAATTTCGGTGGCTCTAAAATTAATGCACAGTGATATATTCATTCTTACAGTTAGAATGCATATCACTGGTGAAAAAGCCATTACAAAAATATGGAAATGAAGACTATTTGTACATTTTGATTTGTAAACTCTTTGGAGTTCCTCCTGTGGTTCTTCTGCCAAGATGAGAGAGTCAGTTAAAGTTCAAGATTAAGTGAAAGCTGAAACACCAAAGTGAGAATGTGGATGTTACGTGATGTTCCTGGTGCAATACATGATTTATCCATTTAAATCTTGTCCATGGCTGGATGGTACTGTATTGGCCAAGCACTGCTGATGTGATTGCATGGCCACTAAGAGGTAACTGCTGTGCTTACCGGGAGAAGCAGGAGTCAAACTGAGTGGTACCAGGTGTCAGGCTGTCCAGTAATTTTATGTGAAAATAGTAAGCATGGCATTCCACCATGTTGGTCTAGGAGTGAGGAAGAGAAACCATAATGCAAAATGGCCTATTACACATTATATAATTGTGGACTAAAATAATTTGCTGTCATTTAAGTGCTTTGTGCATTTCTACTTCAAATCATCCCAGACAGGCAGTTCAACAGTATTATTTATTTACATTATGTAATAGGTGTGTTGTGAAAATATCAATACTGTAGATTACTAGAATGAGACCAGATCTGCATGTCAAACCCACACAAACCCCCGAGTGATTTGGATCAAGGTTATGAGGACTGAAAAAAAAATATCTGTACTTAAGTTGTTCTTCTGGGGTTTGTTTTTTATTTAACATCTAAAATAAATATTGGCAGCCAATCAGGTTCAATGAAACTATAGATATGTTGTGATGGAATAAGCAGTTCTTTTTATCTTACCTACAGTATGATTTAGCTTTCTTCCCCCTTGTTCCTGGATTTAGAGAAATATCAGCCCTGTTACTTGTGTAATGTAGACAGCTGTCCTGTCCGTGAGGCATGGGGCTAAAAGCAGTACCACAGATTTCATAAAGCCATCCTGCAAGTCAGGAGATTAGAAAGGGTTTGTAGCTGGACTGGAACTGGCTTCTTATCTCATATCCATTCCAGAATACCTCTCATGTGCTATTTTTAGGGAACAGTCCAAACTAAAGTAGCAGAACCCTCCTCCTATTGTTTGCTGTAGACAAAAGGACAAGTACAGAAAGTTTAGAAAACCAGTTTCAGAAGAAAGCAAGACTGACTTTTGAAGAATTCCAGAAAGCTTTGTTGCTAAACAGGGAAGCATCGATTTGCTACATAAACATATTGCTGAAATGGCCAGTGTTTCTTTTAGGACTTGGGCTATAAAAATAATCTTATACTGTACTCAATTTGTTATATTGTCATATGTGATTACAGATCAATTAAAACCTAGATTAGTATTTTATTACTGAGATACATTTACTGAAAACCAATGTTTCAATGTACTGTTTAACATGAAGTCTGTGTGATGCAAAGTATTATTATAGTAGTCTCTGTTGATATAGCTTTTTGTATTTTATCTTGGTTTTGTATGGGAATCCACTATTTACATTGGAAGCTCTTACCCCTTTAAAAAAATGTCAGTAGTCTATGCTTACGCACATTTCAGATTGTAATATCAGTCAGCTTGTGCTTCCTGTGCATGATCTTCTGTCACACACCCTAGGTACTGTATTATAACCAGGATTAACACTAAGAATTGTGGTACTGTGGGGCTGTTTTTCATGATAATTAAACCACATTGCTTATGTGTTTGCTCCATTCTCCATATTGACTGTATTTGGCATATTTTTGGATTGTTAGCTCTTGCGTCAGCAATCATGATATCTTGGGTATGTGGTTGGCTGTCCTATATTTCTGCCTGTTAAGCACTTATTGTTTTCCTTTCTTTGCCATTCCATATATAGAAAGGGACAGAGAATTACTTTAACATTCATACCTTCAAACATGTATTACTTATTTCTGCAGAAATCTCTTATTGTTAAACTATGAAATAAAGTGTTTATGAGGATATAAAGCACTTTGTGACAGATATGTATGATATCTTATTTTATGATAATCATGAAGATATACAAGTGAAAATTCTTTAGGGATTCATTTGAAAGCAATCTCAGTTACAATAACTGAAAAACAGAAGATATTTGTTATTACGCCATGATCTGCTCTTCATTTAGGAATTTCAATGACAAATATGATTGAAATTCAATCAAAATTCAGAGAACAGGGCTTAAACCAGGTTATCTTAATTATATTAAATTTCACGTTGATTAGAAGATGCTGGGCTAGACTGTGAGTGACTATTATTGTTTATTTTGTTGAGATGTTTTATGTGCAGTTAATTGTCATTTTGTCTTGATTGTTTTGTCAATAAATGTTTCTGTTTCTGACTTCCTGACACTACAGGCTTTAGCTTACCACTTCCTGTTCCCACATGTAATAAAAAATGCAATAAATTGAAATTTTTCCATGATATTACATTATAACGTGTCCCACATCTAAGGTTATGGAGACAATTATTCAAACTAAACTATATGGAAGTAATATCCTAAAATAGTTAACATGGATTAAAGAATAACCTAAAAATAGCCTAAAAAACTTAGGTTAGAGTGCTTTGAACAAACAACACCACTAATGGATGCACACAGGGAATATGAAATGCTGCATTTAGATTTTCATAAGGGTTTTGATAAAGTTCCACTGAAATGATTAATTCTCAAATTGCAAGCATCAGGCATTTAGAAAACCACAAGTGTTTGGAGGGTGACTTGGGTTTTGAAAAACAGGGGAAGAGAAGTGAATGCTCAAGTGGGGGTGATGTCCGGTTTAGTGAAGTACCAGATGACTCCGTACATACAGTAGAAGGACCACCAGTTTTCCTCATTTATATCAATGTTCTAGATTCTGGTATGATTAGTTAGTCAATTTTGGTAGATTAGAACATGTTAGGAGGATTCAAAAGCAATATAATACTAGCAAATGAAATCCAATAAGATTGAGATAAAATTCAAGGCTGGACAATCACCAGGCTGGTGGCGTTTAATTTAGACAAGTGCAGGGTTTTGCATGCAGGTAGTCAAAACAAACTATGAATACAACATGGGAAATACTGAGAAGGCACTTTTTAACACTAACCCTTAGCCGAGGTGTATATGTTGATCCACCATTAACACCTTCTAGACAAATTAGGGAAGCAAATAAAAAGGCAAACAAAATGCTGAGATTTATAGTAAAAAGCATACTATATCATTTAAATCAAGAGATGGTGTATTGAATTTGTATAAAGTACTAGTAAAGCACCATTTAGCTTAATGTATACAATTGTAATTACATTTGTATAGAAAGATATTGCTACTCTGAAATCTAGAGAAGAGCAACCAGATACATTTCAGATTTTAAGGGAATACCCTACACTGACAGACTGAAGGAACTGACCCTTTTCAGTCTTGAACAAAAAGTCTATAAGTATTCATAATCTTCAAGGGCATCATCAAAGTCAACTGACTGAATGAAGAACGGAATACAAACATACAGAAAGTGCATTTACTGTAAATCTGGAAACACGAGACACTCCTTTACCCGGAAGATTGCAGGATTCTGGAAGGAGCCACCTAGATAAGTTGTTGATGCAGATATACTGAACTGTTTTTCAAGAAACAACTGGACAAGATCCTTGGATCAAATAACTATCAAAATGGCCAGATGGTCTCAATGGACTATTCTTTTATCTTTCTTATATTCTTATTCATTGAGGGCCACTGTTGTTACAACTACACAACTATTTCGAGTTTTTCCATACTGCAGCAGCAATGTAAGAATCCTAAATCAATATACAGTATTTATAATGTGGTAATAAAAGTATTTTAAGGAACACATACAATTATATAACTTTGTAATTATGTAGTTTTATAATTCTATGATATACTGACAATAGACCACTAGATAATTGACATGACATATATTTTTATGATGATAATATGAGTGAACAATTGTTAATAGGCCTCTCTTACCATAGGATTTTCATTTAGATAACGCAAAGGAATACAAAGACTCTTTAAATGTGACATGCCAATTTTTGTTCAACAAAGATTTCCAAAATAAGAAGTGTGCTATAAGTTTCATAAGAGGACAATCTTTTTTGTTAGTTTAATATGCATTATTGACTTTTATTTTCTTATATTCTCTTCAATGAAAGGTAATTAGATTTAGATTAGAACCTTAGATAATTTACCATAAAATTGTAAAATTATCTAATAAATTATCTCATTTTTGAGAGGCAGTGCTGTTGTTTATACATTACTACATACTGTTCATGAAAATGATTTACCACTATTTAAAAACATAATTCCCTAGTTTAAAACTATAAACTTGTTACATCCCTCTGTTGTTTAAATTATATTTATATAAATGTATATACATTGAGTAATAAACAAAACAATAATGGTCACGACTTCTGATTAGTCAATCAACATCCAGCCTCATCACCTGAACTGCAGATTTTGTCCAAATAGTTAATGGAAGTCTGGGATAGAAATCTCTGAAAAATGCTACGATGGAAAATGTGTAAATCAAGACAGTCTCTATGACCTGTTTAGAAAGGTAAAAATAAGGTAAACCTACTCAAGAAAGAGGATTTGAGGATATATTGAAAGCACATATGATCTGATATGGTTTCCAAATTAATTTGGGAATTCAATTTCTTATCCATTCCTTACCTTGTTTGATATTATGATAAACAAAGACAGGAATGGGTCAACAAAGTGGCACAGTGCTGACCAGGGACCCTGAGTTCAATTCCTGGGATGCTCTCTGCATGAAGTTTGTAGGTTCTTCCAATATTCGCAAGGGTTTCCTCCAGGCACTCCAGTTTCCTCCTAAAGTCCAAAGACATACTAGAGGATACTTGGCTTCTGGGAAAACTGGTGTGTGTGTGTGTGTGCGTGTGCGTGTGCGTGTGCGTGTGCGTGTGCGTGCGCGTGCGCGTGCGCGTGTGTGTGTGTGACTTGTGATGGACTGGTGTCTCGGCCAGAATGGATCCTGCCTTGTGCCCATGGCTTGCCAGGATTGGCTTCAGCTCTCTGTATTGGATAAAGTATATCTTGAATAGCCTCTTTCACAGTCATTTAAGATATTTAATGACCAGCCCATACCTCACTTACACCAACAGGCCAAACAGCTGTCCTGTGCTATTATATTAACTTATCTATCTTATATATGTTATATGTATTATGCCACAAGTGGTCTTTTACTTCTTCCAGGGCAATCTACTTGAAAATAATCAAAATTATCAAACTAAACACATTTTAAAACACTGTATGTATAACATTTACAGCATGTTAATAATTTAAGGAATGCCCAATTCTTTACTGCTCTTCAGTTAAAATAGGAGCTTTTATTATCTCTGCAAGTTTCCCACACCATTATTTACTTTTGAATATCCTATTATATTAAATTAAATTTCAAGAACAGAAAAGAAACAATCAAGAAATCATGTGAAAGCAAAAAAAAAAACGGGTTGACCTTTAATTTGAGTATTTGATCACATTTGTTTGATTCTTTTATTATTGATGATCTGATCATATAGCCTGACAATTAAAATCAGCTTTACCTGCTAATTTGTGATGATCAAACTGGTCCTTTCCAAAGAAACCTCACTCCTTAATGAATCCTTTCTTTACATTTGGAAAGTCAGTTTTTGCTGTTTTCCTAAACAAAAAGATCCAAATTGGTCAATGCCTTATTCAGTACCATGAATTTCTCTTCTACTTTCATTACTCATGTCTCGTCTGTGACCACGACTGTTGGAAAAAGTCAGCTCTCTTGGAGAATTCACTTGGCTCTCTAGATTCTTGCTCTGACTGTGGATATTGTGAGACTGTGAGCCCTTATCCCCGATCTGACTCCCAGAAGCAATTTAATACTTCTCATATGTCCCCAGGCGTACAGGGCTTATTGATGTGCTGATTTTGACAGGTGTGCAATGCCGTTTTAGAACATAGACTTTCGTAAACCCTTTACAAAAATATTTACCAATTCATCACTTTTAAAAATATCAATGTCCTTAGAATGTATGTATATTAAAGAGCAAGGGCCATATTGTTGAATAATAATAAAATGTACGGTATTTACAAAAATTAAG